CACTGCCTGTCTGTATATATTTAATTTTCTCACTTTCCTGCCTTCTTCATTTCTTAAGCAGGGTACCACCTCCATATTTCCCATTAAATTATTTCTTCATAACCTAGTTCCCCTAACTCAAAGGTCATTTTTGGTCACATTCTCTGAACTCCTGCCAGTAAGTTTCAGAATATGAAGTGCCAAGAACTGAGCACCATATGTTGGGTACAGGTACAACATAGCCTTATAGAGTGGGATTATTACATCCCTGCTCTGTGATGTGGTGCTTCTGGATATGCAGCCCAAAATATATTGGCCATTTAACTACCATGCTGCATTGCCTAAATCCATGCATACATACTTCCATGTTTCCTGTTATTCCTTATCTTTCTTGGGCATTGCTGCTACAAAGAGTTTTTCTTTCTATTGCAGAAAGATACCTCTATAGCTAAGCAGCTCTACATATCGCAGCAGCGCTGGCATTCGAGTGCATTCCACGAACATCATATAATGCTGGCAATACTGTAGCCTTTCCTTTATATATATTTATTTATATTTCCTTTATAAATATACATATATATATATTTATACACACATTTATATAAGCCAAACCTTTTCCTAGCAATATATTAAAGACATGCTCAACCTGGCACATTTGATTTTTCTACAGTTGCAAAGCTTAAACAAACCACATGTACTCCTGTATGCAGCTTTCAATCGGATATTGAGTTCCACCCTATCAAATGTTCATGCGACATACAATGATTTTTTTCCTCTTACAGTTTCTCAAAATATTATTGTGACGCGCACACAAAAGTCAACCTCAAGAGAGAAGTAGGGCCATTAATATTCTGTCACTGTAAAAATGTTTTAATATGCATTCAGCCAGCAAATTAACATTCTCGTCTAACACACACTCATTTGCTAGCTAGCTAGCTAAGCAAGACGTGTATATACTGTACATACATCATAAGGAAACATAAATGGCTAGTTGCTTTCCAGTACAGCTAACCAGTGATTTTTCCAGACAGTCACAAATGGGGGGGAAGACACTTTCCTAGTAAATGTATATCTCCGTTTCATGCAATGAAAGGTGAATCTTTCTATTCTTGTTTAAGCCAGTTCTACTTCATGTTCCTGTACTGCCATTTTCACGACTACTATTCTATTGTATTATTTAATTTCTAGTTATATATCTCCATGAGATATGTACTGCGTACCTTGTTTCATATTGAAAAGTATGAAATGTATCCTTAAACTTCCAGCTGTGTGTGTATCCTATGGTTATCTGTATGTATTTTTTCTATTATTCTAATAAAATATTTATAACAGTGAGGATTACTGGTATCTTTCAAAATATGTTGCACTCTTCATTTGAGATGCATGCACTCAGGAGACGCATGGGAAAGATGCCCAACCAAACACTTACCTACATTTCTAGCAATGTTACTACTAACTGTCATAGCTCCGTTTTTTCCCCTAGCTGTGCTAGAGTACAACCGGATCCATGCCCAGTAAAGTCTAAAGAAAAATTCTCATCAATTTAAATGTGCTTGGTTTGGGCCCACAGTTTTGTTTTTTTTTTCAAATGTGTTCTGTGATGTAGATGCTCATAGGCTTACTTCGTTAAACATTTATTTGGCCTCATTATGCTTGTTTTTGTTGAATTTCCATTTTACTTTTATTATTGTACTTTTAAAAGGGAAAGTAAAAACCAATTGAATTAAACAGCTGGCAATAATATGCCCACTAGTCTGTTCTGCCCACTGTCCTGTTGAGTGACACAGAGCACTGACTTGCTCATTTCCCTGTCAGTAAAATTGTAAGGTTTCTACCTTTGTAAAGCACTCAACTACAGATATCAAGGAGCTAGAAGTGTATTGGTAATAGTAGCATTGTTACCATCTTCAATGGAATCTTTATCAAACTACCAAAAAATGCCACCCCTCGTATGTCCCTAATTATTATCCTCTAGCAACAACCTGCCCAGTCCTTGCACATCCAAGCTTCCTCATAATTAGCGACTTAAACCTGTAAATAAATCAGGTCTTCAGGCACCGAACATATAGTCACATATTTCACTTGTAAAGTTACAGTCCTGCCATCAGTTAGCGCAGTGAGCAGCTTTGTGCACCGAAACAGTTCTACTGAACTCAGAATTGGCCTGTATTGGCACTTTCTTCCATGCCCTTTAGTTGCTTAGCTCTGTCCAAGATCCATTTTTCTCACATTTTTAATATTCCCCAGATCTCACAAATGTCAAGTCTTGGTTATTTGGCCACTGCCACAAAAAAAACAGACACCCCCCCCCCAACCATCAGCCTCTTGCTTTTAAACCAAAACCAAAGGAAAGATCCATCCTCCACTTGTCTGTCATTCAAACCTTGTGATACAACTAGGTGCCATTGCTAGGAACATGTAGCCTTCATGTCTCCATTACTATGAAGTCTAACATATACACACCCCACTGAGGTAGCTAATTATGAACCAGCTAATATTACATGGCTACTACCTATGTAGTGGGAGCTGATCCAAACATTGCAATACAAGCTGTTAATTGCCACATATTTTACAAGCTTGAACAATAGGGCTAGGGCTAGACAGTCAAAAAACCTGAGCTTGAATAGACTGAACCGATTTGTAAGTGGATAGACATTCACTATTGATTCAGGAAATGCAAGCACATGCGTGCAGTGGCTCAGACTAGAAGCTGAGGAGCATTAGAGCAGCCCTCCCTTCCCTTCCACAAGGCTGAACTGGGGGGGATGGGGACTCCCTCCCCCTCCTCACTGCTCAAGGGGTAGAGGGGTTGCCAGATCCTGGCCCCTGGCTAGCACTCTGAGGCAAATGTGGGGGGGGGGGGCAGGGAGGACTGCTTGTGTGCACTACATGCATCTATTAATGATACTGAGCTTTTCAATCTCCTTCTCCCTGCTTCTTCATACTGTCTGCAGCAAACTCACAGGCACTGCATTCAGTGCAAACCAGGCCATTTCTCACACCTCTCTGCCCCCTGTTGAACATTGACAGATTGCGGGCTTTGAAGCAAGCCAGCAGGGAGCTTATCAGAACACAGAGGTTATCAGTCCATCAAGAAAACAAAAGTCTTGCTCAGTAGTTCAAGCTCTTAAACAGCTTTTTCTAAGGCATTTGTAATTACCAGCTATTCTGTTGATTAGTTCAAAAAAAGCCCTAAGTGGACACTGTCCTGTCTGCCTTTCTTTCAGTGAAATTGGAGAGAGACACACACACGCAGACACCTCTCAGCATTAGCAAGTATGGGGATGGCATGGTCAGATGCTGGCTCGGGTCCCTGATGATGGGGTCCCTGTTGTGGGAGAGGGGGGAATCCCCACTTAAGCAGTGAAAAAGGGGAAGGTAGGGCAGAGGGAATCCAGACAGATGCTGCTGTGCCTACAGTCCCACACCTCTTCCTCAGCCAGCCGGAGCTCCGCCTAGGGAGCAGGGCCAGCCCTGCTTCCTGAAACAGACAGCCCAGCCCAGCCCCGGGCTGCAAAGCATGCTGGGAGCCTCTGATCTAACTTAAACCAGGAAGGGGTCTGGGCATAAACTGGTTTGACCCGTATCAGTTAAGTCTGGTACTACATTCAACCAGGCTTATCTGAAACCAGTTTCAGCCATTTTGAACTTATGTTCTGTTACAGGTTTAAACCAATTTCTGATCACTTAAGCCAAGTTTATGTGCAACTTCTGTCCCTAACCTAGGACATCAAAAGCAATTTGTCTTGATGAAGCAAGTTTGTTTGTTTGGGGGGGGGGGGTTATAGTTTTGTTTTTAATGGCAATTTTGTCACATGACTGTGCACTGCCAGAGGCCCTGTGTTGAAACAAGACATCAGCAAAAGCATTGCACCGCATTTCCCCAAAGGCTCCAAGAAGTCTGTTTAAGCTGAACTCTATTTGTCCCTAGCTGCGGCTCAGCTTAAGTTTCTGCGAAGGTTAATATGTATTTACTGAAGAACAACTGCCTATTGGGTTTCCAGGAAAGTATTGCAGGGAAGAATGTCAGGTCAGGTAAGGGAAATATGGCAGCGCTGAAAGAAAAATCTGGGTCTCACAATCTTTACTGAAGCATTTCACATGAGCCAAATTTCCAAGCTGCACATAGTCAGGCCTTCCTCTGCAAATGTGCAGTGTTAATGAAAAGCCTAGGAAAGTATTTCTGCCCTTTAATGGTAAGTACTTACAATGTATTTATAATGTGAGTATTAACAAAGTAGTTAGCTAAAATGAAAATAACCATGTATCTTCCAAGATAGACCATCCTACCTATATGCACAATGAGAAGCCTCACTAGTGCCACA